TATGTATATAGATTAAGTTTGAAAATTCAGACTTTCAAGTACAACAGTTAAGAACTTATAGCGTTATAAACACGACACAGTGCCCTCCCCCCCCCCCTCAATTTACAAATGGTCAAAATAGAGCGTGTCTCATTATCTCGATAGTTTTCTCTTAAGAAAAGTATTAACTTGTACCATGTTAGAGGAAAAAAAAAAGTATATTTGCTTTTGAAATACTTCCCTTCTCCTCCCCCACCCTCAAACCTTTTTTTTTTTTTAATAATTAAAAAAGTTTTAATTCAGAAAAAATTGTTTAAATTAAGAAACATTTTTTAAATTAAAGCATGCGTCTTTTTAAGTTGATTATATCCCCCCAACCATTACTTTACTAGGATTAAGCAACCCGTAATACGCGTTGTTAGTAAATAAAATTAAAAAAAAAACGTGTATAGTAAAGCCTAGAAACTACTTTAAAATAGAAAAGCCTAGAAAATGACCTAATTCAACTAATACTATTAAATTAGCGTATTAATATTATCAGATTAAATGCTTTTTGCAGATCCCTCCTCCTCCTAATCTTAAGATACTTTGTATGACCTCCAAAGCCCTTGGTTTGGGCTTGGATTGGTTCGGTTTGGATCTTAACTTTAATGACACCTGTCAAAATATTTATTTTAATAAAATTAATTTACATGGTGAATTGTATGTGTGAGAGAATAATTGGGAGTGATTTTATGTCGGAGACCAGAGATCAAATCTCACACAAGTCATGATTTACTTTTTCTTTTTATAAGTCATAATATGCTTTTTCTTTTTAAAAGTCATAATTTACTTTTTATTTTTGTAAATTTATTTTAATGACGAATCAAATAAAAATATACTTTACTGTGGGCAGACGTTTTTTATAGGTAACCCTCTTTAGTTTGTCCGTAAAAAACAAGTTTTATGCAAGACAAGTAATATTGAAAATAAAGCCTAAACCTCCATACCCTTTCATCTACCCACACCCCTACCCTTCCCCCCCCTGCCCCAATTAAGGGGGCTAGCAAATATAAGAGCCTTTTTGCTAATTTAAGGAGGTCTATTTTTTTAGCAATACCTTGCAGAAAATTTTTTATGATTTTGAGGCTTTAATGACACATGTTTTTAGGGGGTATCTGACCCATCAGCCACAGCATTGCTAAATCCTGTTTTTTGCAGACTCATTAAAGGGGTTGCCTAAAATACAAGCCTTACTCTGGGCCAGTGTATAAAGGGTAGCACATGTGTGCATAGAGGGACACTATACCCTTGACTTCCCTATACCATACATCTTTTTATGTTGGCAAACTAGGACCTTTAGTCAGAAAATTAACTTTTCTATTGGTTAGCTGGCGAATTATGGACAAAGGTGATACGGCATATTTTATTTTAAAGTTGTTAGTTATTCAAAAAACATTCAGTTATTATTAAGTACTGGTTAATTATGATAAATTACAAAAACTAACATTACTAAGGAATTTTTTGTGTGTTTTTTTTGTGTACAATTGTGTGTACATACTTTTAAAATGAAACCTCCTCCCCCTCCCCCCTCCTCCTCCTCCCCCCCCCCCCCCGATTTGCTTTTGTACACTATTTGAAGGCCCCCCTCCCCTGCCTTGCTCATCCCTAAAAGTGTAAGTACTTTACAGACAACCCCTATCTAAAAATGCAAATACTATAAACTTGATATGTTTACACCAAAAATGCCAGCATTTTAAGGGGTATTCATCAATCATAAATTATTTCTTAACAGAAAGAAAGATATAGTGGGTATTGTATATGGTAAAGAAACAATAGTTAACCTTAAAAAAATACAATTGTGAGTATCTTAAATCAATTATCGTGGCAACATAATCAGTCACAAAGACATTTTGCTTGATCCTGAAAAAACTAAAGTTATATCTGCATATCCTTTCAGGGGCTATTCTAGGAAATAAATTTGGGCAGTGGTACCTCCTTGTTCCGGCTTTAGCGGAAAATTGGCGTCTTTAAAGTAAAAAAAAAAATTTGCCATAAAAAAGTAAAATAAAAAATAAAAAAGGCACCCAAATATGGTCAACGCTGTCAAAAACAGTTTAGAATAGCCCCTGCTTTTACCTGCATATCAAGCAGCTTTGCATTTCCACTTAGGAATGGTTTACTATCTGCGACAATTCATTTCAAAATGCCAGAGATAACAGATTTTCTCTGCCAGTTGCTTAAAAAAGATTTACATTGGTCATGAAACCAGCAACCTACATTGCATTTGAAAAAATTAATAAGGTTGTCATCTTTACCTATACTTTCATTCTTCAACATATCAACAGATGTCCAGTTACAAGTTAATGCATGTTCACATGGATTAGGAGCATGTTTTATGCAAAAAGACCATCCTATTGGCTATTTTTCTCATAGCCTTACAGTAGCAAAGCAAAGATATGCCCAAACAAAAAAAGATCTTTTTGCAATAATTTTTGCTTATGAACATTTTAACCAATATATTTATGGACAACAGAATGTCATGTTGAAAAAAATCATTCAACATGACATTCTTGACCTCCTGTGGAGTAAACTAGGCTCAAACATATGAGTGTCAAGAAAATTACTATGTGATTGTTGTAGGCTATTTTTTCGAATTTATAGAAAATAGTGTCATTCCAGACAACTGCTTTATTAGTAATTAAATTCATAAATATTATTTTTATTTGTCATAGAATACCTTCTAATCTCATTTATAATAACAACCCTTTTAATGGTGCAGAGTTCCTTAAGTTCTCAAAGGAGTATGTCCTTAAATTCACTTTATCTAGCCCTAATTATCCCCAATCAAATGATCTCAGTGAAATGGGTGTAAAAATCATGTAAAAATGTTTAAAAAACATGACAACTCTGGTCTTGGGCTTCTCGAATATCTTCACATGTCTCTCACAGGTATGGACTACCCTGCATCTTAACTTCTCACGAACAGAAAAACACAAGCAACTTTGTTCACCACGACTTATTTATCCCATTAGTTCTTTTAAATGCTTATAGTCAGATACCAAATTCAGAGAGCGACAGATACATTACTATAATAGGAACTTGTCTAAAATTACGAATCTCAGAGCAAACAACACAGCCTGGATGAAAAAGGATGGAATATGGAAAAAAAGTTACAGTTCACATTCAACAAAAGTGTTGTGTCGTTATTAAAACACTGTACTACACTTAAATATATATATTCTTATAAGTAAGCCATCTTTAATATACCTTTTTATAGCCACGTATGTTTATATATATCCAAACATTGTTCCTATTTGTCCGCAAATGACTCATGGCTTCACATCCCTGAAACGTATTGGCTTTTGCCCCCTTGTCGACAGAGTACTTCTTCAATTCTGGTTAGGTTCTTCTTTAGTAACACGTAGTTCGGACATATCAGATTTATCACTATTGCATGGATCGATTTTTTCATTATTGGTATGATCATACCGCATACTGCCTTCATTATTCATAAGTATACTTGGCTCATTTAGGCGTTTGTTTATTTGGTCACAGTGTGCTAACGTACCCGAAGAGTTATTCCTTAATATGATCGCAGTGTTTAGACCTGCCTGAGAGATGAATGAGGCAGGTTCAGGTTTGGAATCTGGTTTTTGACGGTACCATAAAGGTGTCCCACTTTCGAAACTCATGGTGAGAGGGGATCTCAACTGCCTTCCCATCATCTCAGAAGGACTCCTTGATCTTCCTGCATGAGGTATTAATCTGTAACTTAAAAGCATTCTGCTTAAATATCCACATAATAAACCTTTGTCCGGTGAATAAGCTCTTAAACTCATCTTAACTGTCTCTACCATTCTTTCAGCTGCTCCGTTAGATTGAGGATGGTAAGGTGGAGTCTTATAAGGTACGCAACCTACTTTCTTTAGCCACTGGTGTAAGGTGGTATCATGAAATTCCGCAGCATTGTCGGATACTAAAACCTCTGGAACTCCATTTCTTGAAAAAACACTTTGTAGTACTGCCTTTACAGTGGTCGCTTCACGGTTATTTACCTTAATAACTTCCGGCCATCCAGAAAAAGAATCTACTAAAATCAAAAACAGTCCAATACCCTGTACATGTGCATGATCCATATGTACTCTACACCAAGGTTTATTTTCACTTGGCCATGTATGTAATGTCCTTTCCTTCTTCACTTTTATTTCGGCACATTTTTCACAGTTTTTCACATATTCTTCAACATCTTGACAGTAGCCAGGCCACCAGGCTTCTAATTTTAATCTACATCGCGTTTGCATTATGCCACAATGTATATCATCATGGATCGATTTGATGAAGATCTTTCTCATGGTCTTAGGAGGTACAATGAGGTCACCATTACACACAATTCCTTTTTCGATAGTCAGTTTATTCCTAATAGATTTATAGGGTCTTTCTGTTACCGAGCATCTGCTCCAATTATTCTTCCTAATTCTGGTTTTGATGTCCTTCAATACCCTATCATTTTCTGTTTCTTTTATTATTTGCTCAAGGTTCACTATATCTGACTCGACTAAGTGTATAAATGTTTCTTAGTCTTTCTCTTTATCTTGTGGTAGAAAGGACAATCTCGATAATGCATCAGCATGAGGAATGTTTTCTCCCTTCTTGTAGCTTATTTCGTAGTCAAATGCCATCATTTGTATGGCCCATCTTAAAATTCTAGCGGATGTGACTTTGGGCAATTCTTTGTTACTATCAAATATAAATTCTAATGGCCTGTGATCTGATATTAATTTGAATTTTCTACCCAACAGAAAATGCCTAGCTCTGTGAGCAGACCATACAATAGCTAAAGCTTCTCTCTCAATATTAGAATATCTTGTCTCAGCGTCTGATAAAGTTCGTGAGAGATACAATACCGGATGGCCATTCTGTGAAAGTATTCCAGATATAGCTTTCTCGCTAGCATCTGTTGTTAACTCTAGATCTTGGTTGATGTCATAAACCTTCACTACGGGTTCTTCACAAAGGTTTCTTTTTAGCAATTCAAATGCCTGTTGATGCTCCTTCCTCCATTCGAATGTAACTCCTTTCTTTCTTAAATTGTTTAAAGGTAAAATTTTTTCAGCATATTTATCAATGTGTCGACCATAAAAGTTTATTAATCCTATAAATGACTCGAGTTCCTTTTTTATTATTAGGAGGACTTATTCCAAGTATTTTGCTGACTAAATTACGATCTGGGGTAACTCCTTTTTCTGACAGTTCATATCCTAAAAATGAAAGACTTTTTGTTTCATTCACTGACTTTCGTTTATTTATGCTCATTCCCGATTCCTTCAATTTGCTCAATATTTTGTTTAAATTCGATTTGAGTTCTTCAGCATTTTTAGCACCGACACATATATCGTCTTGAAATATAATCATATTGGGAATAATATCGCCAACAACAGATTCTATCGCTCTTTGAAATATCGCACTTGCAGTCTTAATTCCGAAAGGTAAACAGGTCCATCTTAATAATCCAATAGGGGTATTAACTGTTGTTATTTCTTGTGCCTCTTTGTCCATCTCAATTTGACGATAAGCTCCCTTGAGATCAATTTTAGCAAAATATTTCATCCCTGCCATTTTATGAAATACGGTCTCAATGTTTGGGATGGGATATGAGTCTGAGCATATTTTTTGGTTAACACCTATTTTGTAATCCGCACAAATGCGTAAATCTCTGTCTGTTTTTCTAACAACCACAAGCAGTGAAGCCCATCTGCTTCCACCAGGAGGAACCCTTTGAAGCAACCCTTGCTGTATCATTCCATTAAGTTTATCTACCACTAGTGGTCTTATATGGATAGGAAGAGGTCGAGCTTCAAAATAAGTTGGTTGTACGCCGTTTTTTAACAGAATATTTGCTTTGTAATTAATTAAACGCCCATGAACAAGAGGTTCTATACTATTTACTAATTTTGTGGCGTTGATATTTAATACATCCATACCAATTAGACCATGATTTTTTGTACAGTCTGCAACAATAATTCGTACGATATTCATTTTTGATTCGGTTTCCAAAGTTGCCTCAAATTCGCCTAGGACTTTTATAACTGTGCCATCAAACTGTTTCAGGCGAAGGTAGCATTTTTGTAATTTCGGTTTAGACATTAGTTCCCAAAAATTTTTTGGAATAATTGTGACTTGACTTCCGGTGTCAACTTGCATTTTTATATTGTAGTCATTAATTTTTACTCTAATCTCTGAGTTTGTATCATTCATGTTAATGGAATACACACTAGCATCATCGTTTTCTATTTCCTCTACTATTTTTTCATATTTAGTGTTTGCTTTGCATACGTTTTTAAAGTGGTTCAGCTTTCCACATTTTTTACAACTCTTCCCAAATGCTGGGCATTTCCTAGGTGGGTGTTGAAGGCCACAATACTTGCATTTAATCATTCTTTCTTTATTTTTATCAATGTAATTAACTGAAGGAAGGTCTATGCTGTTTTCGATGTTGTTTTGTATACTAAAACAGGATATTTGCTCCAGTTGCCTGATAAAATCAATGCATGCTCCTAGTTTAGGCAATTCTCCACTCTGTATCATTTCTAGAGCTTTAACTCTCTGATCAGAAGATTGGAGACCATCAATCAATCTCATTTGAATCAAATCATCTTCCGCACTTTGGCCATCTCTTCCTAATTTTTCGAAGTTGCAAAAGCGTGAAGCTTCGCGTAATCTTTGTGCATATGATACGATGTTTTCATTGTTTTGCTGTTTTAATGCTAAAAATCGAAGTCTTTCAGCAATAATTAGTCGTTTTTGAGGTCTCAAATGGGACATAACAACAGTTTTAATATCATCGAACATCATATTTTCTAATTCTTCTGGATATACCATAAGAGAAATCTTTTTAACTGCTTCAATCCCTGCTTTTGCCATAAATAAATCTGTTATCTTGTAGCTACCGTTTATCTCATCTTTTAATTTCTTTGAACGTGCGGAAGCTGAAAAGCATCTAATCCATGCTTCTGCATTATCTGGGTCATCTAAAGTCAAATCATCCCTTAATCGTAGCGCCATTGTTGTGTCGTTATTAAAACACTGTACTACACTTAAATATATATATTCTTATAAGTAAGCCATCTTTAATATACCTTTTTATAGCCACGTATGTTTATATATATCCAAACATTGTTCCTATTTGTCCGCAAATGACTCACGGCTTCACAAAAAGTTTACATTACCTAGGTCCTACAATATTGTAGATAAGTATGGAAGGTTATATAGATACACTTGTAAACATCTGACAACTGAGAACCAATAAACAATTGCTTGTGTATTAGCATGAACAATTTGATATACCTATTGAATCATCGATATGCATCGAACCTCAAATTACATTGAATGAAGAATGAACCTCAGATTACATTAAAGCAGGCAATGAAGTATAAAAACAACAAACATCCCAGAAAGTCTATTGGCCAAACCGCACGCTGACATGCGAATATCAGCAACAATTAGAACAAGACCAACTTATAGGATTTTATTTAATAAAGTTTACTGCTTATATATATATATATATATATATATATATATATATATATATATATATATATATATATATATATATATATATATATATATATATATATATATATATATATATATATATATATATATATATATATATAGATGTAACACCCATATAGTGTTTGGGAGAATACCAAAGAGCCACACAAGCCTCATATGAAGGAGGTTGTGCTGATAAGATTTTACCATGAACAAGGTGACCCTACATAAATCTTTACTCAAATGAGAGTTGTTTCACTAATTATAATGTCAAGTGTTTGTCCCTTTTCAATTCTACTTTTAAACTCAAAGAAATTATCTATATAAGGTTTAAAAAAAACCAATATGAATAAATGAGTAAAGCATGTTAAATGACACTTTCTGTTTTGTGCATGAAAAAATGTACTGGTTCTTTCTGTTATATTGAATATTTATTACAAAGAATTTTTTAAATTTTTATTATTCTTAATCTTATTATTATTATTAGAAAATATTAGTTTATTATTTATTCATGACACCATCTATATTTATAACCATGTTACTGTATGCATAATTTCATCTTGATATATTTTAATTTTGTGAATATTTTATTTCTCAATTTATAAAAATAATATATTAATACATACATACGTTTATATATTTATTCTTGGTGCAATGTTTAAATATTACAGTCTCTTGCAAAAGTTTAGAATCAGTTTAGTACTTTTTAGGTAGATCCATAATTTATTGAAAATAACATATACAAATGACATTCAAAGCTAAGATTTAGTTTGTATTATATACATATATGTGTATATAACATAAATTAAATCTAAGCTTTGTTTATGTCCTTTTCAATAAATTAAAGATACACCTAAAATATACTAAACTGATTCATAACTTTTGAAAGAAACTGTGTATTATAATTTGTAAATACTTAAGATGAACCTGAGGTTTAACTTAAGTAATAAATTAGCTAAATGTTTTATTTAGATTTATTTCCAACGTTCCCATATGGTAAGTTCATTTGTTTATAATCTTATTTTTAATTTGTATTTTTTATTTATTTTAATACAAGGGTTGGTAAAAAATATGTTTTAATCAAAATCTTGACCTAAATTGATTTGTTGCTAATTTTTTGGACTTTTAGATTTTTGTTTATTTTAGTTTTTGTTGTCCAAGTTTTTGATTTGCTTTAATAAATAATTTATTAAAATATTTTTATACATAGATAAAATGATTTATATTATAGTTTCTTATATTTATATATAATTAATTTTACTTATATACTTTTTATATATCTAATAATTAGTTCTAACATTTGTTTAGTTATTTTATAAATTGTTAAAACCAAATTAATGGATTAAAATTTTGAGTTTTTTACAAAAAAGTGTTTCCTATAATAATTTTATACGAAGAATTATTTAGGATCTTGATATGAAAGTAAATATATGCTTTAAAGAAAATCTTAAACATACACAAACAAACCTGCGCGCAAGAAGCTAGTTCTAATAGATTATTAGTTAGGGATCATTTAAATATAATAGGTGTCGGAAAGTCTTGTCAATTATTACATAGTATTAGGAATAAGCTACACTGCGACGTGTTAATTTTTTTTTATTCAAATTCTCGTCTCAGCATCATTAAATTAAATAGCAAGCACTAAGATATTTTTCATTTAAAGTTTGTTATCATTTGTTATGGTTTGCATATTTTTCTGGGATTTTGTCATTAATTTAAATTCAATAGTAATGAAAATTATGTTGCATCACATTATATAGTTGGCTTTTTAAAATTTTAAAAAATATTGATGAGGTAGGAGGGGTATTTTGGGTACTGCTACTGGTAAGGCCTTTTAACAGAAGCATTTTGTAAAATTAATTTGTAAAAAAATTTGTTAGTATTTTTTATGTTATTCTATCATCTCCATTATTGCCAGTGTTAAATAAAGTCAACACAGTACAAAATATTTTTCTCAATATTAAGTACAAAATGTTTTTCTCAATTTTAAAGTTTTACAGTACATTTGAAAAAAGTTTCTTTTTTGGGGGTTTAAATAGGAACTAAGGGTTAAAACAGCAAATAGATATGTATTGATACGTATTTTATCATTCTGTATCTCTCCTAAAACTTTATTATTATTATTTTTTTTATTTTTTTTTTTAAAAAAAACATCTTATAGTAGATAAGAAAACTTTAATTTAAAAATCATGCAGAAAATTTTGTTAAACATTTTTAATGATAGGGGTACTAAACTGCTTTTGTAAAACCTAAATTAAATGTATGAATAAAAAAAAAATTTATCTTACTCATATATTTTTATTTTTTATGATAAACATAATTTTTATTACAACGATGAAAGGGTTATTTGAACTAAATTTAGGTTTTTTAAAAAGGCTAGAAAATAAACAATAGAGTTATGCAATATTCTAAAGCTATACAATATTCTATTTTTTTTTTTTTTTAAACATGAAAGTAAAGCCGCTTGAACACATTTGTTTCGGTAGATAATAAAATATTGACTTTCCAGACTTCACAGAAAAAAATTTCAGGCTAAAATCATCTATAAAATTAAGTATTTTCAAAATTTTCAATTAGCCTGGTTTAATAAATGACAAGTATGTAAAAAGTATGGAATATATAAATATAAATATGTAAAAATGAATAACGTATAGAAATTGTTAACTATAAATTGAACTGTGGCAAAATGAAAACTTCTCCAGCAGACCAAGGTAATAAATATTTTAATAAATTGTCGTCTAATGGAAAATTTTTTTAGAAAATGTTAAGTTCATTCTGAAATAACAAATCAATGGCATTTGGGGTCGTCCATAAAGTACGTACGCTCATAGGGGGGAGGGGGTCTTCAAAAAGCGTACAAAAGCATATGGGGGGGGGGGGGGAGGGGTTGAATATAAAAGTACGTACGCACTAATTAAAAAAAGTAGTTTTTCTTAGTCAATGCTTGTATTTCTAACTTATCACCACTAACAAATACTTAACTATAACTAGATACTTTTTAATAAATAACTAGATATTTTTGAATATAATAATAAATAAATAATTTTTTTTTAATAAAAAAACCATGACTGTGACTTTGAAATGTCAGTTGGGGAGGGAGGGAAGTATACTTGCCCTTAAAAAAGATCTAATTACAATTTTATTTTGGAAACTTTAAAGTTTTTTTTACTAAAGGAACCTTAAAATTAGTAAAAGAAGTTTAAATTTAACAATAAAAACGTAATAAGTTTTAATGGGCTTGGTAAAAATGTTGTGGGTTTTTAGTATAATAATCCACAACATTTAACCCAAATAAATGGGCAGGCACGTTTATTTGGCACCTCATAGTTATCGTTTGATGTGTTTTATAAATGTAACAACTCACATACGTGGTTACGTTTATTAGTTATTTAGGAATAGAGAAAGTTTTAATGATTTGCTTGCGATGGTCAAAACAATTGTTTTTATCTCCAGCCTGGAAACTTTCTTTCAAAATTTTAATGTCACAGTTTTTTACATACCCTCTACCTATGTTGTTGTATTACAATTAAAGTAGGAGAAAAACTACTGCGAGGAAAACACTTTTGTGCTCAATCTTATATAAATACAAAAATTCTTTGTGTATAAAAACATAGTTATTATTTCTTGATTATAAAAAATGTCACGTAACAAAATTGCATCATCTTATATAGGGTAATTTTTTTGATAAATATAATAAACTATAAAGCTTGAGAAAACTGGAAATTATAAATTTTTGAAAAGTATTTCAGCTAAAAAAATGCACGCAATCAATTTAGTGTTTAAAAATTTTCAACTCTGAACATCAAGGTGACAGTGAAGTGTATTACTTTTCAATCGTTTAAAAGATTATTAACAAAAAATAAAACAAAAAAGTCTTGTTAAAAGATTTGTGTAGTTGATCTTTAAGCGCTTTTGCTGGCTAAAGGAAACCTTTAAAATCAACAAACTGGCGAGAATGTTTGTTTGGTACCTTTAAAGATTAGGTTGTGGTTAAGGGCAGGGTGATAAAATTTTTTTAAGTAATCACAATTTTAAACTAAAACTGTTATCTTTATAGGTTTCAAAACATCGTTTTAATATTTTATAAACAAAATTTTAATATAGTCTTCATTAATCAATTAATTTAAATTGTTGGTGATCTAAATCAAAGGGTGATTTCACCCAATCAAATATGTTTTCGATGACATGAATTTGATCAGAATTACTTTAATTTTCTGTTAAATGAGTATCATTGTTTTCATCGTCATTTTTATTTTCCTGAGAGGTCGTGTTGATTATGTTTCTATAGTCGCATTTGTGACGTTTAACACTTGCTTTAGAAGCGTGATAAATTTTGCAAGATTTGCAAGTTCTTTGATCAATTTTTTGTTGTGAAATTGATGGGCAGTACAAATCAAAGGAAGCTTCCATCGAAATTTTTGAACCTATATATCCCAAGCATTGCGCTAGAGAAGAAAAGTAAGGTTTAGGAACATTTCGTGCTACCTTTGGCTCAGGAATAAAAATTCCTTTAGCAGCATGAGACATTACAACTGGACCTGGTAAAAAACGTTGAGGAAAATATTTTTTCCAGTAACTTTGCCAAGGTTTACAGTAATTCGGAACATCACACTAACGATCATTAAAAAATATTGACTTCGTCTTACGTGATTTTCAATCCATTTTGAGTCTTGCTCTGGTATTGGTGACAGTTGGGAAGGTTCAACATATTCAGCACAAACAGAATAGTTATCAATTACTATATCCGAACATACCTCAGCTAGAGTTTCTGCAGCTTTAGCAAAAATAAATTTTTCTAAATTAATGTCAATTGTTTTTCCAGATGCATTTAGATGTGTCCCAAAATGGTCATGTGGCAAAACCAATCCTGCTAACTCTCGACTCAGCGGAGCCATACACCGTTCAACCCTTTTATATGCTGAATAATGAGGTGCATGAGTTCCTGTTAGATAGACATCCAAATCCCATTTTATAAATCTTGCAATGGTTTGGGAAACCTTGGATTTTCATCAGGGCCTCCATCACATGCAATAACAAATATATGTTGTACCTGACCTTCTGAAGTACAAATATGAAGCTTAAAATTTTCAATTGAAACAAGACGCTCCAAATCACGGCCATGAGTAAAAGCAGTGCTGCTATCATGCTTCATAGATCTAATAGCAATATACGTTGGGCCAGAATATGACACTGTGTCAGCAAATTTGTTTGGATCAATAATACAAGCTGCATAAACAGACGGTATAAGCTTATGACTGGAAGCGCCTAAAAAATCATGATCTAGCAAACGTACTTGATAATCAAGATGCATTAAAATTGATGATTGTTTTGTTGCAGCTGCTAATCCTAATGGTACTTTAGCTTTGTCGTCTAGACTTAAATAAAAGCATGAATCTGGATTAAATATTGAACAAACTTCATCCATGTATTGCATGCACGCAAATGTAAATCCAGCATCGATATGCCTTTCACGAGCTGTATTAGCAGTCCTGATCAATTTCACAGGAACTGTCTTAATGTGACGTATTCCCTCAAGTGTGTTTGATCGCTTAGGCATCAGTCTTAAATAAGTTGCAGATCGCGATAAACAATAACCCAGTTTTAGTCGGCTATTATTTAAGTCATCAAGTGTCTTACATGAACGTAACTCCTGCGATCTTCGTTGATCGCTAGCAGCGGCTCCTATTGATGCAATGTTAACGATGGCATTAAGAAGATTTGGCTGATCTTCAATTACAGCAGGTCTACCATTTTTTTCTCTATTGAATTTAGAAAGTTTTGATTTTAAGTAGGGCGTGTCATCGACAATATCATTAAGTGTTCATTTCAAACTTGCTCTGCGTTGTCTTTGACGGATTGCCTCACGTTTCATTTTTTTAAGACGGTTTTGTTTTATTTTTATTTGCTTTTCTAAAAAAATAGATTTTATTTTAAGTTTGTCAGTTACCATTCCTGCACGGCGCACATTTACCAATGTTAACAGCTGCTCTTTTAAC